GCTCTTGATGAGACGGTTCTAATGATCGTATTTCCATCGAAATGTAATCATTAGGTCGAAAGTTATTTCATTTAACAACATGACTGAGATCAGCTAAGTAATCCAATAATATAAATTTTGACCAAAATTTGGATTTTTCCCTTTTCTACTGACCACCTTCCATTTATCAAATTGAATTAAAATTTATAAATTTCTATTCAGATATTTGCTCAGATTGAATATTTAACAAATATTCAAATTTAAAAGATATGGATCATACCACTATCTATTATGAGAGATTCAGTATCAGTTGTTAATAATATCTTTAGTTTTTTAGTAACAAAATCATTTGCATCAACTTCATATGTATTAGAACATGCTATTTGTTCAATAAAATTTTTAGAAAGTTCTAGTTTTTTTGAAAAAATTTTATTGTATTCAAAGTTAAGTTTATTGACAAGCCAAAATATTATATTTATATTATATAAAATATTATTTTTTTTAATAAGGATAAAATATTTAAATTCTTTAACATTTTTTTTTAAATAATAAAGTACTATTTAATTTTAGTTTATATAATTTATAATATAAATACAATATTTGGATAAACTTTACTTTTAATTATATATAAAGATTAAATTTATATAATTTTTATTTATTTTATATTATATAATAGGAAATAGTCATTAGATCTAATAATTTCTAAATATTTATTAATTTTAAATAAATTTTTTAAAAAATGAGTTTTTTTAATATAACAAAAAAAAATATAATATATTATGTATATATTTTATTTATTTTTATATTAAAATAATTTAAAATACCTGGAACACAAATAACAAATCCGTTGTTGTTGACGTTGTAAACAATTTGCCAAGAATATAATGGACTAGATCATCATAGATCCCAATTATCATGAATAAATCAATCATACATAGATTCTATTTTAATAAATGGTTCCTAATTTGTCCAGTCTATCATAGCTGGGACGGGGTAACTCATCGGAGTTGTGTACATGTTTACTTGTTGGATACGGAATCTGGGGTACAAGAAACACAAATAATCTAAAAACGAAGACGCTTATAATAGTTAATGGAAATTTACTATAACCGGTTTAAAACCAAAAGATTTAAAAAAGGAAAAAGGCTTTGATCGTGGCTATGAATATGAAGGCTTAGGGGAAAAGATTGAAGGGAATTTGGCTTAGTTTGTATTTAAAATGAAACCTTGTTTTGGATTTCAAGTATTGTTCATTAAAGGATAGTTTAATTTAAAATTATACTACAAATAGAAATAAATTTTGACACAAGTTCTTGTGTATCATTTAGAATTAGAACGATTCCGGTCAACTTTTGTAGGTTGTACCAGGGTTAAAAAACGAAAATTCACTTAAAATGCAATGTATCAAATACAAAATGTTGCATTACAACAAAACAATAAAATGTGTTACAATTTTTTTTTTTTTTTTAATAAAAAACACTTCATTCTTCCATTTTATTTGTTTTTATCCGTAAACTTGCAAATTTCAAAGTTTACGTTTCCCCCTTTTTTTTTATTTGGTAAAATTATTTCATAAAATTTATAAATAGACACCGCCTCGAAAGATATAAAAGTATCCGATATTCATCACAAGCCAAGAACTTTAAGGGTTTGAATACAAACTTATTTTAGTATTTATCAATCCCCGAATTTTTTTTCAATAAATTTTGCAAAATTATTCCAACCTCGTATCAAAAAATTTATATTTCAACTATGAAAGTAACATCAATCGTTGCATTTTCTATTACATTATTAGCATCAATAGTTGATTCACAAAAAGCATGTAATGGATATGCTGAATTGTGTGATAAGTTATACTCAGAAATAGCTTATGTGACGACACATAATTCATATGCTGCTGGTAAACAACCAGCTGCAAATCAAAATTTTAACGTTTCAGTACAACTTAAAGATGGTGTTAGAGGACTTATGTTGGATTCCGTTTTTCCTGATGACAATCCAAAAGAGATGCACTTATGTCATGGTAACTGTAGATTACTTGATGCGGGTCCCGCAGTGAATACTTTAACAACAATTGCTGACTGGTTAAATGAGAATCCAAATGAGGTTGTCACTATCATATGGGAAAATACTGCTAACGTACCTACATCCGCTTTTAATGATGTTTATACTCAATCTGGCTTGGGTAAATTTGGTCATGTTCAAGAAGTTGGAAAAGGTTGGCCTAGTTTAAGTAAAATGATTGATAGCGGTAAAAGACTGGTAAATTTCATCAATCCTCCTTCTGATGGATCCATTCCAATGTAAGCAAAGTTTATGATAAAATAATTTACGAGATTAAATTTTATTTCGTGACTTTAAATTCCTTTTCTTCTCAATTGATTTTTTACAGGTTAATGTCAGAATTTGAATATGTATTTGAGACACCGTTCGAGAATGAAAATCAAAATGGATTTAAATGTACAGTTGATCGACCAAAAGGCAAAGAACAGCCTTTGTACGTTCTAAATCATTTCTTATATAATAACTTAATACCTATGGATAATCAAATTCAATTACCTCAACCCGGTCTGGCAAACATAACGAATTCTGCTAGTTTGGCTGATCATGCTAAACAATGTCAACAAACTTTTAACAAAATTCCAAATTTCATTGCTGTCGACTTTTATGATAAGGGAAGCAATGATGGTCAAAATGTTTTTTCGATTGTTGCCGAGTTAAATAATGTTAAATATACTCAAACCCAAATAGGTGATGGTACAACGAATGGTGGTAATACTGATAATGGAAAAGTTAAGAAGAATGCGGCTCAACCTAGTGTTTTAAGAAATTTTAATGCCTTAATTGGTTTAGCTAGTGTTAGTACTTGGGCTATGTTCGTATTGTAGTTATTTTTTCGAAAAATAGAGAAAAGAAAAACACTTATTTAAAAAAATTTGATTAAAAGATAAAATTATTTTTATAGATAAAAATAAAAAAAATGTTATTTAATTTCTAAATTTAGCAATGATTGATTGAAATAACAAGCAATCGATCGGCAATAATATATAAGTAAGTATTGCGCCTCCAACAAGTATATTTATTAATTCACAAACTTTAGAATTATCCATTATTATAATAATTATAATAATGATACAATTTGCTTTAAAGGTTATGTTAATAAATATATCTAATTTACTTATAATTGTAAAATTAATTTGCTTTTCAATAAATCTAATTTAACAAATTACCTATTAAAACTAATAAAAATTATTGAATTTCTTTAAATTTATACATATTTTAATCTATTAGAGTAACCATTATTATTATTTTAATATATTTTATTTATATTTATCAAAATTATTTTTTTAAATATATTTAAAATTTAAAAATACAAACTTCTAATAGTATTATATCATTATATTCATTATATTACTTAAAGTTTCATAATTATTTAAGATAATATAAATTAATTATAATTAGTATTTTAATATATTAATAGATACTCACCAATATATATGACCCAAAATATTAAGCTGTGTTAAAAATAATTTGTGAAAATATTTCACATCTAGTCATGTTTCGAGGGAGTGAAAGTCAAGATAATATCCAAAGAGTTGTGCGACAATATACAGATGATCCAAAAAAAGCATCTAAGATTATTGAATAAACATTTGCGAAATCAGAATTTTGTAGTATTTGATTTCTCTAAGGCAACTGATGATCCATTAGTGATTAGATTCAGTTTGGATTCTCCTTTGAAACTAAATTCTTTGGCTTAGCGCTCTCTCAAAGGAATTGATGAAATGAGACAAAATGTATATTTTTTTCTGGGCTTCTAAGTCATATTCAGATTCACTATGTCTTTTCACCTATAATTTCTTTTTATAAGTGCTGAAATATATTTTCAGTTTTATAATTATATCACTATATTTTGTGTAAGAAGAGATCTGATCAACTAGAGCGATAATGTTTCTATCTTTAGCAGAAATAATATCTTTCAGATATCAGCATTTGTCCTTTAGCATGTTAATAAACTTTTTAGCTGATGCAATAACTTTTTTCATATCAGAAATTATATTTTTTAAAAAGGATACTAAATTTGATAATTGGGTGACTTTCCCACTATTCTCTTCCAAAAATCTGATCATAGCTACCTCACGAGACTTATATTACTCTTGCAAATTGAGAAGCTCTTCGATCTTTTTTTCTAATACCTGCTTTGATATACATAACTTCTCATTTTCTTGCCTTAACAAAGTTTCACAGTTGCTAGTAATAGGCTTCATCTTCTGATGCTCCTTTTTCTTAATATAATTTTCAACTGTTTTATTTAACAAATCTTTCATTTTAGGATGAATATTACTTGTCTGTTTTAGCGATAATAGATATTTTCAAAATGTAAGACATCGCTATATATCTATTTTGATAAATTAAAGAAGTTGGTTAAGTTGCTTCAAGTAATATATGTTGTTAGCTTAAACTAAAGATGGTACAGCAATTGATTTCAAATTTACAAAATGTTGTAACATAAGCTAAAATTAGTTGCAACATATATAGGTTAAAACTAATTGCAACGTAAGTTGCAACATTAAAAGTTGCAACATATTAATTACAGTTCACATCTTTAGTTATAACTGGCTATTTCTTTATCCAACTATGACGCATTCACATAGAAATCCTTTCTCAAAAATTTATTTCAATATGACAGAACTTCTTAACAAATCAAATATTTGCTATTTTACTTCTCTTTGTGAATCATTTATTTTACTAATTAAGGCTTATCATGAATATTACCCACAAATACCACTTTTACTTTGGTTTCATGGATCTGATCTGTTGAACATTTCTTTGGTATTGCACATCAATTAAATTCAGATTTTGACTTTGCAGATTTAATCCAATTACTTCCCAAAATATCACAATTTACCAAAGCTTTAAGATCAAAAAAATTATCTTTTGATCAAGAAAAAACTGTTCATCAAGGTAAATATTACTATTTGATTGTATCATTTGTGTGCTTTACATTTTTTATTATTTTAATATTAAAATTTTATTATATAGGTTATCATTTTGATTATAATTCTCAAAATTTAAATGAATCAACATTAGAAGTATTGAGACTTTGGCTGACAGATGAAGAAATTTCACAAACAATAAAGCATTCATACTATTTAGCTTGTAAACTTGCTGAATTTCTTGGAATGATCCAACTTACAAATATCTCCCTTGAACCAAATTTACAAATTCTGATCGATGTTCATGAAAAAGAAGTTTCAATGTCATATAGAAAAAATCAAAGCGAAAATGATGAACAAAATGAAAATACTGAAACAGATCTAACTATAGCATTAGCAGATGCATCTCGTGAAATGAAGCGTATTTCAACAGAGGAATATGATAATGAGAAAGGTTTATCAAATTTATTCCAAAAAGGACATTCACAATTAAATACTATAATTAATTCTGAAGATCTGTCTATTTTGTATAATGGAGACAGCAGTAAGTTATAAATATTTATGCAATTTTAGTTTTAAATATTATTTATCATTTACTGTATTAATTAAACTAATTTTTTAATATAGTTAATTCTGGGTTTTAATATGGATTAGAAGATAATTTAGATTTTGAAATTCTATTACAACAATGGCAAAGACATGAAGCATACACTTCAAAGCCACTTGAACGAAAATTCAAAACAATTTCTACAAAACTAAACACTTCAGCTATACAATCAAATAAAGCTAGTCATTTCGTCGCTTATTTTACCAATAATGAAATCCAGAGTAACGATTTGTCACTCAACGTAAAAAATGATGAAAGGAAAATTGCAAAAAGGTATCAATTACTTTAGCCCAGCTTCATGCTGAAGAATTTGTAGCATAATCAAAAAGAAAGAAGCATTTAACTAAAAAAAAGGTTCAGCATTCGCACATTCAAAGTTAGTATAATTTTTTATTTATGCATCTTTTATTTATAGTTACAGTTACTGATCTTTTATTATTATTTCTAAAGTTTCAAACATTGAAAATGCAAATATTTCAAAAGATTTTCTGTTAATTAAAGGAGATTATGTATTTGTTATATACAGTGATCAAATGTGCATAGGAAAGGTTATTGTGGTTTACTTTGAAGCTTATAATTATCATTGCTATACTGAAGAAGTAATAACAGATTTGAATGATATTTCTTATATATCTTTATATGTTTATATTCCAATTTATCATATGTTTAGTGATTTAACTAAGGAAGGGTGTAATATTTTAATTCATTATCTTGCTTCTAATATTATTTATCATATCGAATAAACTAATGTATTAGTTGAAGAAAATATATTGAAGCTATTAGGAAATGAAAAGCAGTATTATTATAGTTACTTTGGTCGAAAAGATATAATTGAAATAATAATACAATAGTAATATTTTACTTTATACTAACTGTAATACTTTTTTTATAATAAAATTCATATGATAAAAATGATCGATAGAATAATGGGAGAATCACATGACAATAAAAGTCAGAGGTATTAGTTTGCTTATTTTTTTCAATTATCTGGGGTTAGGGTTAATTTTGCGTACCAGCCTTATTAAAAACCCCTGTGTACAGCTATCAATAAAAATTTTTTTTAACTCCTGATCTTTACACATATATTTCGGATCCTATGCTTATATTATTATTTTGACTTTTTGTTTTAATACAAATCAGAATTTCAATCAAGATTGTATTATTTTAATCATGAGTAAAGAATTTCACAAGATATCAAATCAAATGGATAAATTTATTTATAAAGGGAAGTATT